AGGGAGCGCTGCTTGCGCAGCCAGCCCAGCTTCAGCGGCCGCGGCGGCTCCGCGCCCGGCCCCGCGCTCTGCACGCTGCGGGAGCGGGCTGCGGGGACACAGGGTGGGACAGGGATGGGGACAGGGACAGGGCTGCGGGGACACAGGGTGGGACACAGGGTGGGACAGGGCTGGGGACGGGGATGGGACAGGGATGGGGACAGGGATGGGACAGGGACAGGGACAGGGCTGGGGACAGGGACAGGGACAGGGACAGGGGATGGGACGGGGATGGGACAGGGACAGGGACAGGGACAGGGACAGGGGATGGGACAGGGATGGGACAGGGACAGGGCTGCGGGGACACAGGGTGGGACAGGGATGGGGACAGGGACAGGGCTGCGGGGACACAGGGTGGGACACAGGGTGGGACAGGGCTGGGGATGGGGATGGGACAGGGACAGGGACAGGGACAGGGATAGGGACAGGGACAGGGCTGGGGATGGGACAGGGACAGGGATGGGACAGGGATGGGACAGGGACAGGGACAGGGGATGGGACAGGGATGGGACAGGGACAGAGACAGGGACAGGGCTGGGGATGGGACACAGGGTGGAACAGGGCTGGGTACGGGGATGGGACACGGACAGGGACAGGGGATGGGACAGGGATGGGGACAGGGCTGCGGGCGGGACACAGGGTGGGACAGGGCTGGGGACAGGGATGGGGACAGGGACAGGGCTGGGGATGGGACAGGGACAGGGACGGGACACAGGGAGGGACAGGGACGGGACACAGGGTGGGACAGGGATGGGGACAGGGACAGGGACAGGGCTGGGGACAGGGACAGGGCTGGGGATGGGACAGGGACAGGGCTGCGGACGGGACAGAGGGTGGGACAGGGCTGGGGATGGGACCGGGATGGGGACAGGGACGGGGACAGGGATGGGAACGGGACAGGGATGGGACAGAGGGTGGGACAGGGCTGGAGACGGGGACCGGGACAGGGATGGGGACAGGGACAGGGGTGTGGGGACAGGGGGACACTGTATTGGGGACACTGGGTATGGAGACATGGGGCCACGGGTGTGGGGACACAGGGACAGGGGGACACTGTATGGAGACACTTGATATGGGGACAGGGGACACTCTGTGGGGACAGAGGGACACAGAGTGGGGACACAGGGACATGGGACAGGCTCTCGGCCCCGCTCTGCTGCGAGCCCTGGCCCCAGTTTGCAGAGGAAGTGGCTGCAGCGGCTGCCAGTGTGAGCTTCCTTTCTCCTGCGTGGGAGGAATTGCCCCGCCAGGGAGAACTAAATCATTTCTGGGGCTCTGTTGGGGTTTGTTGAATGGCACCGTGTGGGGTTTGCACCCTCCCCGGGGCAGCAGGACAGCAGAGTGACCCAAACGCTCTGGAGATCCCAGTTCAGCTCTGGGGTGGTGCCAGTGGGGCAGAACTGACACTTATGGGGCTGGAAATCTCCAAGGATGGAGGAACACCAGCACGGCTTTGGCACTGGGCAGGGCAGTGTCCCTGTCACCTGTTGGCGTGGCCCCGCTGGTGGCACGGCCCTGTGGCGTCCCCAGGTCCCTCTGGGACAGCCAGTGCCCCACAGGGGTCACTCCTGGGGGGGATTTTTGCCTCTGCAGCCCCCAGGGCCAGCCCAGCTGGGCAGAGTTTGCTGTGGTGGCTGCAAGGCAGAAATGAAGCCGTGGCCGGGGTCTGCCCTGGCATTTCCTGAGCTGGAGCACCCGGGCAGGCAGGGCTCAACCCTCGCTCCAGGGGTGTCCCCACATCCCCTCCTGGAACCCCCCAAGGCTGCGGTGCCCCCCGAGCGTTTCCTGCGGCCTCTGGGCTCGGGCATTTCCTCCACAACCTCCCCCCAGCAGGGAGAGCTGCCCCTGTGCCAAGCCAGGAGTGCCAGCGGCCACCTGGGCAGAGCCTGTCCCGGGCAGGAGCCGCCTGGCACCGCCAGTGCTGGGAACTGGCAGGAAAAATCCCCAGAGGAGCTGCAGCAGGGAATTTCTGCCTCACTGCAACCAGTTCCTGTGCAGCTCTCCAAACGCTGCCACAGGCAGGGCTGGGGCCAGCAGGGGAAGTGTCCCCAGGCCACCAGCAGCAATCTGCAAATATTGCAAACATTTGCAAATGGGACTTTCACATTTCTGCAAAGGAGGCCACAGCAGCCCTGGACCAGCACAAGCACGCAGAAAGTCACACAGTCCCAGAAATACACACAGAAATTCACACAAAGTCACCAAAAAACTCACAAAGACTCACACAAAGCCCCACACACAAATTCAGACAAGCTCACAGAAATTCACACAAACCCACACAAACTCACAAATTCACACAAACACAAACTCACACAAACTCATACAAATTCACACAGACACACAAGCTCACACAAACTCATACAAATTCACACAAACTCACACAAATTCACACAAGGTTACGCTCTCCCAGCAGCTGGAAGCTGCAAAAAGCCCCAGGGCTTTCCTCACAAGCAGATTTTCTCGGGAAAAAAAGGCAATTCCTGGTACCAGCACAGGCTCGAGCCTCTGTCCCATCTCCACCCTCTGCTCCCCAGAACTTTTGGTGTCCCCTGGCCTTTTTCCCTGGCTTGACTTCACCCACTGCTCCACAGCCTCTGGGCAAAAAAAAGATGAAGTATCTCAGGAATGAGGAGTGCAGGAGGCTCCTGTGATAATCCATGGGGATTTCTCCCCGGAGTGTGGGGATGGCACTGAGCCATGCCAGCTCTCATCTGGGGCTCCCACCCCTTCCCTTGGGGCTCTGGGTGCAGGGAATGCTTTGGGACTCTGGTAAAAGTGGCTTCGGGCAGAAATCCGAGTTTCTTTGCAGGAAAATCCGGGCAGAGACCAGCTGGGTCCAGCTCTGCTCCCAGCTGAGATAAACCAAGCCCCAGTGTGGATTTTTGGCACCATGGATGGCCTGGGATCCCCTCTCTGACCACACCATCACCCTAAATCCCCTCTCTGACCACACCATCACCCTAAATCCCCTCCCTGACCACCACGATCACCCCTAAATCCCCTCCCTGACCACCACGATCACCCCTAAATCCCCTAAATCCCCTCCCTGACCACCACAATCACCCCTAAACCCCCTAAATCCCCTCCCCTCTGGCTCCCCAGCCCTGGGAGAGGAAAGCACCGGTGTCAGAGGGGCAGGAGCACCTGGGCCAGGGCCAGGTTTGTGCCACCAGAACGGGCCTGGGCGGTTTAAAATCCCCCAAACCCGGATTTTGGGGGCAGCAGCCCTGTCCCCCCGCTCCCACGGCATCCCTCGCTGACAAATCTGCAAATCACTTCTTGCAAACCATTTGCAGACCAGCTGCTCCATCCTGAAGAGCCCCCACAGAGCCAAAACCTGAGCTGGGCTCGGCTCGGGGCCCCGGCAGACACGGAAGGATCAGGAAGGATCGCTCACAGTACCTATTTTTGCAGCATCCATCTTCAGGTTGAAATCCCAGTTCCGTGGCAGCTTGAGGGACATTCTGGATCAGGAAAATCTCTTTTTCCTCCTCCCTCAAGGTGAGCTTGCCCGGGAGAAGGGCTGGAGCCCGACGGTCCCGTGGGGGTCCCCCCACAAAGAGCGGCGCCTCGGCGAGGGCTGGTTTGCCAGCGAGCTTCCTGCCTCCGAGAGCAGCAAAAACCCCAAAAAAGTCCTTTCCTGCCCCGCTTTCCTGCCCGGCTCGGGCTGCCCCAGCGGTGCCCTGGGGTGATGCCAGCCTTGGGCCCCTGGTCCCCTGTCCTGGCCCGGGGGACAGCAGCCCAGGCCGGGGCCGCTCCCCAGGCGCCGCTCGGGGCATTGGAGGAAGTGGAGGCAGAGTCCTGCAGAGCTGCCCCGAGCAGGAACTGCCCGGCCTGGGGCTCGGGGGTGTCCTGCGGAGGGGCAGAGCCTGGGGCGGTGCCAGGGCGAGCCCGGGGTGACGGCCGTGCCCGGCCGTGCCCGGCCTGGGGCATCCCCGCCTGGCACCGCCGCCTTGGCTTTTCCCGTTCTTGCCCGATGTGCCCATGGATTTTGCAGCCAAATGGGGATGAAATGGGGATGAAATGGGGATGAAATGGGGCAACTCTGGGAGGAAAGGACATGGGAGTCAGAGGGGTGAGCACCAAGGGATTGTGGAGCCATGGTTTGGGCTGGGAGGGACCTTAAATCCCATCCCGTCCCGTCCCATCCCGTCCCGTCCCATCCCGTCCCGTCCCATCCCGTCCTGTCCCATCCCATCCCGTCCCATCCC